AGAATTTTATCAATACAATGATACTTTAAGTTGAACTCAATTGAAGTAGCATTTGAGTTGAAACAAATGCTAAAAAATTAAAGTTATGTAAGAAATTGCTATGAATGTTAAAAAATAGGCAGGCTGCAGATGTAGATAATGGTTAGAGAAATATTAAAATATGGAGGGATTGCTTACTGAGTGGTTATGTGACTTTTTTAACATGTATAGTTGGGACTACATCTGTGCTTGATGATTGGAAGCATGCCATAATTATTTATCTACAAAAAGAAAAACATAGCAAAAGTGAGGGTGGTGGGAATACAATTTATAAAAAATACCTCCAAAATATTTGGCAAAATTCTAATCAAAAGAATATGAGAAATGTCAATAAGAAACATTTGAGATGTTCACTGCAGTTTTTCTCAGGCAAAGGATGTGCCTCAAAAAGATTTTATTCTTCAGAAAGTCATGGAGATATGTATGATTGCAAGAAAAGAAAGTTTATTGTGTGCTTAATAGTTTAAATTTATGAAAAATAAATAGGCTTGATGCTGTCTAACCCAATTTTTCTATCTTATCAAGTAGTAGGTTGTGGTCTACTTTATTAAATGCCTTACTGAAGTCCAAGTAAATTATATCCACAGCATTCTTCTGGTCCTTGGGGCACCCCACTACATACTTCCTCCATGTAGATGCAGTTCCATTGAGGACCACATGCTGAGTATGGCCGGTCAGCCAGCTACGAATCCATCTGGTGGTGATGTTGTCTAACCCACATTTTTCTATCTTATCAAGTAGTAGGTTGTGGTCTACTTTATCAAATGCCTTACTGAAGTCCAAGTAAATTATATCCACAACATTCCTCTGGTCCACTAATTTTGTCACTTGGTCAAAGACTGCAATAAGATTTGTCTGGCATGATCTGTTCTTGACAAACCCATGTTGGCTTTTGGTAATTACTTTGTTTGCCTCTAGGTGTTTGCTGATTCATTGCTTGATTTTCTTTTCCAAGATCTTCCCAGGTATTGAGGTCAGGCTGATAGATCAGTAGTTTCCTGGATCCATTTTTTTCCTTTTTTGAAGATGGGAACTACATCAGCTCTTTTCCAGTCCTCTGGTAGTTCCCCAGTGCTCCAGGATCTTTGAAAGATATAGTTCAGTAGTTCTGAGATCACATCTGCCAGTTCCTTCAGAATCTTGGGGTGTAGTCCATCTGGTCCTGGTGATTTAAATTCATCTAGGCTGGACAGGTGCTCACTTACCATTTTCTTGCCTATCTTAACGTGTTTCTAATCTGTTACAGTACTGTTTTTGATAGGTTGGACTGTTTTTTCCCTTTGTGTAAATACGGATGCAAAAAAAGAGTTAAATAGTTGTGCTTTCTTCCTGTTGCTTGTCAGCTTCTTGCCAGTTTCTCCCACTAGTGGACCAATCATTTCCTTAACTTTTTTCTTGTTTTTTACATGTTGAAAGAAGCTTTTTTTCTTATTTTTGACTTTTGTTGCAAGCCTTACTTCATTTTCAGCATTAGCTTTCCTCACTTTATCTTTGCAGGCTTGGGCTATTTGTTGATATTCTGCCTTAATTATGTTCCCCTCTTTCCACTTTTTGTCTTTCAATTTATCAGAGAGTTCTTTATGCAGCCATGCTGGTTTCTTTTGAGAGATGTTATTTTTCTTTTTCGTTGGTATTGTGCTAGACTGGGCTTTTATAATCTCACTTTTCAAAATTTCCCAAGCTTTTTCAGTTGTTTTACCTTTGAGGATTCTCATCCATTGAATCCTTCCCAAGCTCTCTCTAAGTTTATTGAAATTAGCTCTCTTAAAGTCAAAGACTCTGGTTTGACTGTGTTCTATTGCTTGTGCTTACATAATGCTGAATTCCAATATTGCATAGTCACTCCCCCGCAAGGTTCCTGTGGTTTCAACATCTTCTATCATAAACTGATACAAAGGTAAGACTAAGACAACTGTGGTTGAATGGCGCTAATGAACATGAACTTTAAAAGAAGGGAAGCTTTAAAAACCAAAAGCTAATGTTTTAACAGCTATATGGACATGTGAAAACAAAAACAATTTGAAAAAACAGAACAGTATGAAGAAACATTTTGAATGACAACAGCATAAAGTAATTTTCCTTTTATACTTGTGTAGGCTTTTACAGCTGATGTCAAACAAGCAGTGATGAATTTTCATGCTAAATAACCATGGTCTAGTTTTCTGGTGTCCTGATGTTTCACTGACAGTTGTAGCATCTTCAGAGGCAGAATGAGCTACTTTGTAGTGTACTTCTAGGCCCTTCTATTTGAACTTGGCAAACTGCCCTCAGATTGGATACTGTCACAGGAGTCCAAGAAAACTGATTCTAGGTCAGGAAAAAGTTGTAAAAGTTGTAAAATTGGGCACAACTCACCTAACAGTCAGCAACAGAAATTCCAGTCTCAATTGTGTGATTGTAAGTCAAAGACAACCTGTAACTAAGACATACAGTATACTGAAAGTCAACACACATGAGTCATTATCTATATAAAAGTTCCATCATCCTCCCAGAAGTGAAGCATTATGAAAACTCCGAGTGACTGTTCCAGATGCATCTATGACACTACAAGATTATCAGATGACTTCAGACACCTTGATAATGCTCTATAAGCTAATGCTAGTAAGTTCAGGTGAGCAGTAAATCTAACAGCAATAAATACACTGTACATCCTATTTTCCAAATAGGAAAAGCTTTTCTCTCCTATATTGAGAAAGTTATACATCATATTGGAAAATTATTACAGAAATAAGGCAGATATAACTTAAAAGCATTCTACAAGCCAACAAAGATTTAACATATCATCTGATCACTCAAGAATGGCAGATCATCAGGGGTTTACCACATCCCCTGCAGTTTTGTAGAAGTATGTACTGGAACCACAAAACTATTAAGCACCACTACACTGGGATATTATCAAGATCCATAAACATTCCAATAGCTTCAATAAGAAGGAGGAGAGTTTGGAAATCAATTAAACATGGATCCTAGCCTTGTGCCACATCAAGACTAAACAGCCCTCAGCTAATCACAAGGCAAAGAATGAGTAGTAATTTGGCTCAAAAACTGGCTAAGGAGGAACAGGTTCTCTTGAATTGCTCCAAAATAGATCTGTCATAAGTCTAGATTGATTGATTACATGCCACCAAGTTATTGTCAATTTTTAGCACCAGCACAGATAGACTTTCTCCATATGAACCTGTCCCTCTTTTGATCCTTCAGCATTTCCAACAGCGCACTCATCGCTATTGTACCTGTATCTATCCATCTTCCTAGTGGTCATCCTCTTTTCTTTCCTTCCCAGCATTAGAGCTTTTCCAGAGAGCTAGGTCTCTGCATAATGGGTCTAAAGTAGGATAAGTAGAATCTGGTCATTTGTGCCCAGTAAGACTTCTGGGTCGATCCATTTGTTTGGGTTTTTTTTAATCAGTCCATGGTATTCCCAGAAGTCTTCTCCAACAGCAAAATTCAAAAGTTATTTATGTAAATACTCCATTTATATAAAGAACCAATCAGTAGCCTCATTCAAGGAGAGGCAAATCAGGAACCATTTTCTGGGGAAGTTCTTCAGAGTAGAACACATCAGAAATCTATATAGATGAGAAACCAGCTTTTTTGAAATCCCGTTATATGGGCCAACCAGAGCATCTTGCCAGATATAAATACAAGAACCCAGTCAATTGCCAGTGAAGTACACTGCAAAGCAGCTCACTCTGCCCTGAAAATGCCACCAGGACATCCAAAACCATGGCTATTCAGCCTGAAAGTTCATTATTGATTAATTTTCCTTTTCTACTTATTCTATGCTGTTATTATTTTTGGGCTAGTATTTATTACTCCTTTTCATAATTCCAACAACATACCGGTACTTTCCCTTTGGAACTGAACCACCTTTTCATAATATAAACACAAGCTTTCCCTTTGAGATTGAACAAAAGGGAATCAGATGATGCTTGTGACTGAACTATCACCAATTAAAAGTATCAATTCATACTAAAATCTATTCATAAAATTAAAGGTTATAATTTACAACCATCGCCTTGATAAAAAAATTGCAGTAGCCAAATTCATTGTATAACCTCACACTAAGGTAAACAGTAGCTTCATTTCACAAGGCTTCTAGAAATTTAAATAGTTTGTTAGATTGCCAGGTAATTCCATTGCACCATGACCCTTCACAGTAGCTTCATTACTTCAGAACTGTTACAAAATAAAACTGCAGCACTCAAGGATTACTACACCCAGAATTGTAGAAGACCTTTGAATACATCCTCCTCTCTTAACCACTCCATCTATGATCAGCAGGAGGGCAAAAACTTTTACAGGTAGACCTCAACTTATAACCACAGTTGTGCCCAAAATTTCTGTTGTTAAATGAGTATTAAGTGAGTTTTGCTCCATTTTACAATCTTTCTTGCCACAATTGTTAAGTGAATCACTGCAGTTAATAAATTAATAACTTGGTTGTTAAGTGAACCTGGCTTCCCCATTGACTTTGCTTGTCAAAAGTTTGCAAAAGGTGATCACATGATCTCGGGACACAGCAATGATCATAACCATTCACCATATGAACCAGTTGCCAAGGATCTGAATCTTGACCACATGATCATGGGGATGCTGGAAAGGTCGTAACTGTGAAAAATGGTCATAAGTCACTTTTTTCAGTGCCACTGTAACTTTCAATGGTCACTAAATGAACTGTTGTAAGTCGAGGACTACCTGTATTCAAACATTATAATTTACACTGAAAAGGAAACAACTGTAAGTCTCTGCACGGATCCTTGGGTATGATATATCATGGGACCCTAGAACACTGTTTCTCAAACTTGGCAACTTTAAGAGGTGTGGACTGCAAACTCCCAGAATCCCCCACTCAGTTCTGCTCAGTTGCCAAGTTTGAGAAACATGACCCACAACTACCCTTAGGTGAGCAGCCTATGCTAGAAAACGGCACAGTGTTGTTAAGTCATCTCTGTCCCAACCTGTCGTTCAGAGCACCAAAAATCCAGACCACCACTTATACACTCCGCCGATTCGGGATCCATTTTCTGCCACCTAACGGTTATCCGGATTCTTGCACCGTACATTTGATGGCTCCACGCTCAAAAGACATCCCAAGGGGGGCAGCCAGACCAACCGTAGGGCGAGGCCGAAACCCGGTCGCTGCCCGCCTACCGTTTGCCTGACGTCATTCTTCAGCCTTTTCGGAGGCTATAAATAGTCAAGAGATAATGCGCCTTTGGAGTAAGCTTCCGCGGTCACTGATGAGTCATTCCTCAAGAAGGAGAAACGGATCGTGGCCCCGCCCCTTATGAATCATCACTTTGCAGCGATCTGCTCGCTGTGAACCGAAGATGGAAAAAGCTGATAAGGAGTGAAAGAGATGTGTTACTTTCCTTACTGCCTGCATTGAAGCCGCTCGGCCCGACCGACCTTCTCAAATGCTCTTGTTCCACGACGTTATCCTTTGTTTCACGTCGGTAGCCTGCTCGCCATCCAGGCTGAAAGGGACGATATCATCGACTTCCCGGTTTGCCGGTGACGTGTCTATGGGGCCGGAGGAAGCCTGGGATGTTGATTGGAGTAGCCGAAGTCTTAAAAGAGGCAGCAGATGAGACCCCCAGTGGAAAAAGACATGAACGTTGGAACTTCTTAATAGATGGTGGCTGCAAAGTTTTTAAAATTTTAAATAAATGGCAGCTAAGCAAAAAATCTCGATCCAAAAACATTTCACAAACCCTGAGATACCCTATTTGTTTACCCAAATGCTTGTATTCTTTGCAGTCGGAAAAGAAGAAAAACACTTGTAATTGTTTACAAACCATTGTTACTCCCATTGATCAGTTATTGGTGAAAGTACCTTCTAAGAGATACAATGATACAAGCAGGACTTCTGTTGTATAGTTAGTCCTATAGTCCTTCTCTATCTATACTGGCCTTAACACTTCTAGGGTAGGTGATCTGGCCATGAAAAAAGTCTACACCTGTTTACTTATACAAGCAAGTCCTATTTCCTTCAGTTAGACTTCTAGATAGCAAGCATAGAATTGTAGTCTGAAACTAGCTCTCTCCAATCTGGGAAAATGTATTGGAAGATGTATTGGAATACAACTGTTTACTACTATATTTTGAAGTGGTGAGGTAGGCCAGTGTTTTTCAATCTTGGCAACTTTCAGATAAGTAGACTTCAAGTCCAGAATTCCCCAGCCAAAAATTTTAGCAATTGAAGTCCGCATATCTTAAAGTTGCCAAGGTTGAAAAACGCCAATATAGGCAGATTTGCGAGTTTTGAGGGTAGTGAAGTAATTTAACATTGCTGCCACCTGGGCTGTTACGAGTAGGAAAAAATGTTATATCAGTAACTGGAAACTCAAGAAGAAATCTCAGTGGCTCACTGGATTATATTTGCCAGACTTTGTGTTTATCTCCCTCTGATTTAAAGTCCATAATTGTAATGATACTCCTTTACTGTTGGGCTAGAATGGTCATATTTCACTTTATGCAGTCTGAATATGCATACTTTTTTTCTGAAATAATGTAATCAGTGATACACCTAATTAGAAATGAATTAATGATACACCTAATTAGAAATGAATTATCTAGCCCAGTTTAATCTGGTTTAAGGCAGGTTTTTTTTGATAAGAACAACTCTAGTTGCTCTAGCAGATCATTTACACTACCAATTAGATAAAGAGAATTCATATCTGCTGGTTTTGCTGAACTTCTCAGTTCTATTGCTATCCTTACAGGATTTCTGCTTGATGCAAGAGAACTTTGGAGAACTTTTGCTGACTTGTGTTCAGTCCTAGAATTCTTTATCTATGGTGACCCTCAGTTTGATCCTGTTTTCCAGGCATTAAAAATAATATATTTTTAATGTCTGCATGAAACGAGTAGAAAAAGTTACCAAGAGATTTGGAAATTTGTTACCAATATGAAGATACAAAAAATAATAAGTCTTATCACCAAGAAAGCTGCTGATGTTTTGAAATAGTGTTTGAAGGCAATAATGTCCAGGAAGAAGTGTAACAAAGGTAATCTAGGATAAAGGGAGAAGCCCCTAGTCAGAAAACAGATGAACTCAAATACAAATGCAATCTGTTTTGGATGAAAGAATACTTTCCTTGAAGAATGAGGTTTCAGGTTGATATCTATACATCTGAGATTATAAGTAACTTTGTCTAGTTTAAATAAATACATCAATTGTGTCTATTCTTGATGAAGTCAGACCTGGCTTTGGTGACCCAAAGCTTGTAATTACATCTGAACTACATTACCTGTGTTATGACGCTCGTAAAGTCTTAGAAATTAATGATGCAAAGGCCAGATAAAAATGCAGATAGGCGTTACCCAACCGACAAGAACACACTAGTTACAGATTTGTTTTCAGGCACAATTCAGTATAGTATTAATGACTTTCAAATTTCTCAAAGCCTGAAGTCTAAGATATCTTAGGGTCACCTCTCTCCCAAATCAGCTTCCTGGCTCTATTTATGGTAGAGATCCAGATAATATGAATGAGAAGAAGGATCATCGTGATTGCATTATAACTGTGGAATCTTCCCCTGGGAAGCTAAGTTGATACCCTCTTTAATAGCGGTGGAGTGCTGAAGTTTGATTGTTATCTAAATCTTTTTCATGTAATTATGCTGTTATCTTACTACAGTTAAATTGTATGTTACTATGTTAATGTAAGCCACCATAAATAGTGTGGAATACAAGCAAAGTAGAATTTATATTTTTACACTAAATAAAATAGTAGCCAGTGTTATTTTCTTATCCTATTTGCCTCTCATCTAGCCTCATGAAGAGTTCTGGAGAATGCGAATTTTGATTGGCCTGTCCTAATATCAATTTTGGGACATTTATTTCATTATTTTAAAGATGTTTTAAATTGTAATGCATTTTGAGGAAGTTGTCAATTGAAGTATTGCTTGTACACACAGTAGAAATAGATGCATTTGAAAGAGAAAAAATGCAGTCCAACACTGATGAAATACATCACCTATAATAACACCCACATTCCATGTTTTTGTTCCAAATATGTATTTGTTATATTGGGTCATGCATTGTAAACACTCTAGTTTATAACTCATACCTCTACTATGGTTTGAAGTCAGATGTCATAGTTCCTATAGATGAAACCCTTCAAAAGAACTTCAAGGCATTGTTTTCCTTAAAGAATCTTTTATTTGGGATACAAAGTATCGGCACTACATAGTTAAACCCAAAAACTAAATTCCCCTCCCCTGGATACAGAGTAACAAAATACAATTCCCACCTCCAATAAACAGCCATAAAGCACATTCCCCAATTAACTTAAAGTGCGGGCTTTCTCCCCAGCTCTCCAGCCTGCCAAAACGTTATCAGCTCTGGACCCAGTTTGTCCTTGGGTTCCCACTGAGCTCGCATCCCAATCCCCTCTCCCTGCACCAATTAATTCTAAAAGTAAGAAAAAGGAAAAAGAGAAAATGGCTGCATTTTCATCTGTTATCAAAGCAAGAACATCCAATGTTAGCAGCGTTGACATACCTCTACTATACTCATACCTCTACTATGGTTTGAAGTCAGATATGCCAGAGTTTCTGTAATAAAAAAAGCAAGGATCACTTGAGTCATTGCCTAAGGCCAGTGCTTTTTTTTGTAAGAAAAAAGGTGCCGGAACTCACATTTTGTTAATCACAAGCCGAGCAGTGCCACAATCTGAGCAGCGCCATCACAATCAGTGTGGACAAAGTATGCGTGCATCAGACTTGACACACAAGCAGTCCGCATGCACCGTTTTAATGCTTTTGCCGCCGACCTGCTATGCTCATCAGGGCAATTCAAGTCCACGTGGACCAAACATCAAATTTTCAAAAGTTACTTTTAAAACTTGGAAAATCTGTCGAAAAAAGGCGCCAGAACTCTGTTCTGGTGTGTTCTGTGACAAAAAAAGCACTGCCTAAGGCTAACAAATATGGGTTTCAAAAAGCATAAGTGAGGTGGCAGAGATGGTTGTTCAGATTTTTTGAACTTTGTTCTGCCAGTCGTACTACTGGAGCTCTTGGTAGTGGTCTGACCATTAGGGTAATGTCATGTCTCCATCGGAGCCTGAATCTGCTGAGGAAAATGCGCTGGAATGGGACCCAATGGAGGTCAAGGGAGAGGTGTCTGTGGCTTCAGAGGAATGTGGGGAAGAGCAGGCCGAGGCAGGCCAGGGCCTTTCAGGATTGGGACAGGATGAACATGAGAGACAGAGCTCAGGCAATGAGCAAGGGCCACCCCCTCCTGATCCTAGAGTACAGAGAGTGGAGATAAGGAGGGAACAATGCAGGCAGGCTCAACTACTCTGGAGGAGAACACCCCGCCCCTCTACACAGGGCACACCTGGAGACTGAGACTTAAGGAGACACTGTGGGGAGGGGCATTTGTTGGGAACAAACACTGATTTCTTGGAGTTTTGTATCTTGTTGCTGATCTTGGAAACAACTCTGTGATTTCTTGTTCGGTATTGTGATTTCTGCTTGGAAACCCTGAAACTCTGACCATTGGACTGGCTGACAAATTTGATTTGTGTTCAAAGACCTCAGATTGTATTTTGGCTTCTCTTCTGAAATTGCTCAGGCAAGCTTGTATTTCCACAGACTCGTTGGATTTTGGATGTACATTTCATTTCTTGTTATCTACGTGGCCTTGAGTAAATTATTCTTCTAATCTAACTGTATGTGAAACTACTTGCAGCCAGAGGCTGCTGAAAGTGTGTCTTACTTTGTTCTGGGGCTTGCCAGAAATGTGGGAGCATTTGGGGAAAATTTAGGGCAATTAAAGGGCAGTTTGAATTGCCAGCTGACTGCATTGCCTCTGTGCCGGTGCCCTGGATCATCACAGGTAATGGAGTAGGACAAGGAAGACACAGAATAGGCTTCAAAAAGTGTTGAAAAATACTTAGTGATGGAAGTCCATCAATGTCTACCAATCATGCAGAATTCAAGACAAAAAATTGTTTTTTTAAGATTTATTCTGAATTATCAAGGACATTTAGCTGATCTGATGGAAAATAGATGGTAGGCCTAGGAAAATGTTTTCCTCTTCCTACTTACCTCCTTTGAATTAAGTTTAACATTATTTAATAATAGGTGGCTGATAGATTGCACCTTTTCATCTAATGAAATTATTAATTTCGTAAAATTCCCTTTTATATACTGAACTGTGACCTATTCTCTGTCAGTCACATCACATGACTGACATGAATTATGTAACTCAACTTGCACAATAATGTTATTATGCAAGTGATATCACTCCCCCAGCCCTGTGTAGACATTTACACTGCAATGCTGTATATTGTTTTTATCATTGTCTATGAATATTTTCATAACTGTGACATTCCCTATCTTCTATTCCTACCAGTGTATATAATTTTTTAAGAATGCATAGTTTATTTATGCCATTTTTATTCATCATATTTTGAAAGAATTGAGACAAACATGTTTTTCTTCTTTTTCCATCTCATGTTTATATCAGTATAGTAGTACTATGAGACAGATCAGGTTTAGCTAAGCATCATGACTGTCAAAAATTTTAACTTAGGTTTATTTTTCTAAACCAACATTCCTTTTTTCACATACTCTCATACAGCTTACAGTCTTTGACCACAATTTGAGCCCAAAATTTCTGTTCCTAAGTGAGATAGTTGTTAAGTGATTTTTGCCCTATTTTACAACTTTTCTTGCTACAGTTGTTAAGTAAATCACTGCAATTGTTAAGTTAGTAACATGGTTGTTAAATCAATCTGATGTCTCCGTTGACTTTGCTCGCTCAAAGGTCGCAAAAGGTGATCACATGACCCCAGAACATTGCAACCATCATAAATATGAGTCAGTTACCAAGCAGTTGGATTTTGATCACATGACCATGGGGATACTGCAACAGTTGTAAGTGTGAAAAATGATCATAAGTCACTTTTTTTCAATGTCACTGTAAGATCACTAGACATAAGGTTGTAAGTTGACGACTACTGTTACTTTATAAACAAATTCTTTTGAACCAATTTTTTTTATTATTCCATTACAATATAATATTCCACTCTGTATTCCATCATTTTTATTTTTAAAATACATAAGATTTTTTAAATGCTCTTTTGAAAAGAGTCCATTTTTCAAAAAATAAGCTAATGATAGTAAATACCGAAAAACAAACATGACTTAACAATGGAGCAGTAAAGGATTACAGAGAAATATTTATAAATCTAGTGGGTTTCAAGCTATAGATCTTGCCTTTAATAGACTATCTTTGGAACAAGGGGCACCATTCTGTAATCTAGCCCCTCACTCACTTTAAGGTCAAGATGATGCTGTTGCTTCATATTTAGATCATGGCTAGTGCAGAATTATAGGATGCCTATTAGTCACCTATTATGTGACTTAGTATTTCCACTCAGTTTAGTAACAACAGTTGGTTCATTGGGGACTACAGAGGGAAAAGGAGATTGAGCTTATTAACAGAAGTCCCAGATAAAGGAGCAGAAGGAGAGCACAGCAAGAGAGATGAAAAGTCAGGATAACAGACATGGAGCTTTCAAAGAGATGGATGATTGCCTCACATTCTGAGTTCAGCTGAATGGCTCACCTTTCCATTCTCTCAGGTAAATGTAAACCCTACTTAGGCCCGCGGTATTATTTTTGAGGATGCCTGTAAAGAGTGTCCCCTTGTACAAACAATTGTAAACAATTAATTTATGTGACAATGTTATTTTCTTTCCTGAAAGTTTAGATCATTCAGAAATTTTGCCCCAGCTATGTTGACAGCAGCAAATTATTTGTAATGATAGTCGCCAAAAAAACCTGTCCAGTTGCTTTTTTTTTTTTTTTGGCAAGTGTGATATTCCTTTGTATCAGCCTACAAAATGTTTTGCTTGAAATTGTATTTCTGAGGATAAGTTGAATTAATTTGGAGGCTAGCTAGGAGCTTTATATTGTTTTATGTACACAATAAGGAGTGAGAGGATACTGTTTAATATATGGCTAAGTATGTTGTAAAAAGAGAAACTCTTTAACTGTTCCTGTTTTTAGTGGAAAAGAGTAGGGGTTTACTTGATTATTTACTTGCAACAAAACAGATTTAAAAATATGAATTTTAGCAGGAATCACACCTTTTGGTAATGTTTTATAGAATGTAATTGCTGTTCTTATTTAAACAGATAAATATGATTGCACTTCTAAACTTTCCTTGTTCAAGAAAAATCCCCCTCATAAAATTTGTATCAAATATTGTGTTTATAGGTACAAAGAAAAGTACAGCTCAAATATGAGACTACAATCCTGTTTTGATCAATTGGAGCAGGGGTGTCAAACTGCCGGCCTGCGGGCCAGATGCATCATAGCGAAACTCCGCCCACTCCATTGCTGGCAATGACAAAAAAGTCGTGATATGTCATGACACATCACGTGATGTTGCGAGTTTGACACCCCTGAATTGGAGTATTTTGTCTCTTCCCCACAACAACCCTTTTGTAAAATCCCACTAAATTTGCTAAAGCCCATTGAGGTCAGTGAAGAAATTATGGGGTAGGTATTAATTTTATAATTTGTAACTGATCATACTAAACTGGGATGTTGTTTTTTTTCTTCTTTTCCTTGGATTATATCATCATTTTATTCTTTTACTTTGTAATCTGCTCAGAGAATATTGGTTGAATCAAAACTATTTGAATAAAATAATACATAATTTCTTCCTACTTGAGCAGTCCCACTTCTGACTGAATTCCCTGGCAGCAAGTATTTGCATTTAGAGAAAAATATGTATTTTGTTCATTTGAGCAAATAATTTCTTAACCATTTCTTTAGCATGGGTAAACTCTACTACATACATTGGCCCACATGTTAATCAAAATTTCTGGCACTAATATTTTCATGCACAAAGAAGTAAAAGAACAAGTTACTTACATCAGCATACTTGTTGAAAAGTATAAAATACATAATACTTGTAGAAATAAATAGCCATCCAATAAACCTAAAGCCTGGAAAGAACACTTGAGTAGCCTGCAAAGCTCCTTAGCATGACAACATTAAGATTGTACAAGATAAACTGGCTCAAAATAAGGTCTACGTAGTAGTCCATCTTACTCAAAATATAGAGTACTTTAAATAAAAAGGTGCTTTGCTTATCAAACAGGTCACTTTTAAATGAATATATTTCCTTGTGAGAAATAGGGAAGTTTTTTTAGAGACAGGAATTTCTTTATCCATTGTGCATGCCACGAATTTCATTATAACTTGTAATAACTTACTCCAAATAAGACATGTATGGAATATATACAATAACTAAACAATAAAACATCTTCAGTAAAAAAAAAAACCACAGTGACAGTAATCACATCCCAATCCTGCTATCATAAAATATAACAATCATGTAACAATATACAATCTAGCTTCAAAACTTAACACTAAGACAACATTCATATATATGAAAATTAAGGAAGTAGAAAAAAAAGTTGGATACAGTACATATGCAGGTAGATATCTTTAGCCATTTTTTTAAAAAAAATTGGCTTTAAAACGCTTGCTGCTTTCTCATTTTTGAACAATAATGAAGAGAGCCTTGCTATAGTGATTGCTAGGGCTATAGATATTTCCTCACAGCCCATTGTTGTTTGTTACAAAACAGTTTTACCAGTTATAAATCTAGAAAAAGAGAGGAAATAGCCTACTTGGCCCACCACAAGAAAAATACTTAAACTTGAAAGCATTGTGTAAAATTTCTAATCCAGACGTCCATTGTGCCAAATAAGGATTTATTTTGAGTCAACTTACAAAGAAAAGCACTGTATATGTGACAATTATTGCTGATATCTAGATACATAGTTGACTATTATCCAGATCAAGGTTAGATACATCCTCAGTGATTTCGTGGATTTAAACATACTTAATCCCCTCCTTCTTACTCCGTCCTTGTGCTTAGAGTGCTCAAAAAAAAAAAAAAAAGTATCCATACTGTCCCTCCATATAATTCTAATTAGTTTACTAGAAATAGCTGCCTGCTGGCTTGCCTGTGAAATAATAAACCAATGAGCCTGAACTGCATTAAAATCAACTTTCCTTCTAACTCAGGCTTGTAATTTAACGACTCTCACTACCCAGTAATTCTGTTGCTTACCTCTGATTGGCCCCATCTTTCTGTGGTGCAGAAGTGTACACTGCATTCAGAAACTGACCTAGAACTGAAGTCTGATACACAAGAGCTTTCTGTTTCTCCGTGACTCATTTGACATTAACATAATTATGTTATAGCAGTCAAAGTGATTTTCAAACTATGAGTAATGCAAAAATGAGAGAATGTGTATATAGGAGAGTGGGCATATCAGCTGGCTGAAGTAATCACCAGCTGCTGATAGCAGCTGAGGAATGGAAGTCCTGATGTAAAACTATCCATGTCTGAAACTTATATAAAGAACTGAAACTTAGAGTGCAGGCAGTCCCTAGGAATCAGGGGACATCCAAGGCCATTTTATTTTCTCCTAATGATAATGACAACTTGTGAATCGAGAGTTCATTTGTTTACTGCTTTTTTTGTACTTTCTTTTTCCAAGATCTCAGAGTTAGTTACCATTTCCATTTCTAACTAAACTGAATTGTAGATTTTCTAAAACTTCAAATTTCCCTGGAAATAATAAAATGAAATAAAGTTTTAAAAAAACTTCAGTTACTCAGCACTGCTGAAATAGTATTTTTCTTTAGAGCTTGTAAAATAAAACTCACTTTGCTTCACCCAATTCCTTAAAATTCCTCCTGATTTTATGTCAAGCATAATATGTACTATATTAATAAAGTTAAAGAAAACACAGTTTATATAATAGTTCTTTGTTTTGATTCTTCACAACCCCAAAACTCTTAATCTTTACAATATGGCCTAGACCTGCATCCTAGTATTTTATCAATATCTATTCTAATATAATACTCTACAAATAAAACTGACAATGTCACAATAATTAAATTGTATCTAATGGACCACATTTAAGAAATGGTATGCTCTTATCTATAAGTTCAGATAATATCTTATTTAAAAATTGTGGAAGTGATTTTGAAAAAAGAAACTGCTGTTTTTCAGTTCCTTTCTACTATCTTTATTATGGTTGTTAACATATTAGATCTTAATTTGGCATTTTGCACTAACAGAATTTTCATTTAGGAAAATTGTCAAAAAGGAATTCTTTTTAAATTTAAAATCTTCTTACATTAACTTTTATACTTTTATGATCAGTGTGATTTTAATTCTACATAAAAATTTTATCACTCTTCAGTTATAATCATCATATTCATTTTTATAATGATGTTTCCTTGACATAGCATTTGATTTTTGTTTTGCTTCTCTGTTCCGTTAAGTTTTCATTATATTTTAATTGAGTATAAGTTGGATCCTTGTTATCAGTTCCCAACTTTAGACTTTGAATTTTTTACCATTTTTTTCTTTTCTTCAAAAATAATTCCTCCAAAAAGATCTCCAAGGCAATTAAATTTTAAGTTAAAAAAAACATTTCCACCAATTATATTGATTAAAGTAAGGGTTTCAGAGAATTTAAAAGCTTGTTATATTTTAATGATATTTTAATAGACTTCATAAATAATTCTTTATGCCTTGGAATTTTTTTTCTAACAAAGAAAAATTATCTAACTTTTGATTTGTTTTAAAATGTAACATTTCATATTTTTCTGTAATTTTTAGTGAATCTATGGTTACCTGCCAACTGAAGGTGACACAATATCTCTTCATATAAAATTGGTTCAGGTTCATGTATTATGTGTGTCATGCTATAATAATTTGGCTAGATTTTAAGGTCCATAACCCATTTTATTTTCATTGCTTTGGAATGGATAAACCTATATCTTTAGAAATTGATATCTGTAATTTATATATAAATAAATGAGCTCTTTTTAATAAGAAGCCATTGATTCATTTCTCACAAATGTCACAGGACTTGGATAGTATAAATTGCATAGAACTAATGTTCACATTTGACTGAAGTCTTTTCTTTTTTTCTTATTTTACATTTTTTATCAGACCTACCAGTTTCTACATAGACTAGATATATTAAAACAGTGGACCAAATATTGTAGTGTGTACAATTTGATTCTTTTTAGTTTTATCTTCATGCTGAAGCTAAAGAAAAAAAAATGTGGCATCATTTTTCAAATATGTAACAATATTTGATCACCATTCTACTTATTATTGTAGGATAAATTTAAATATTCATACAACTTACTTAACATGGAAAATTTTTGAATACAGCTTATCCTTTCTCTTATTTGCACTTAACTGTTTAAAGGTGGAGTAAACCATAATATAAAAACTATATGAATGTAATTAAATCAAGCAGAATATAAGAAGGATTGAAAAGAACTCTAACTAACAAGTGGTATGCCAGATAAACGATTGATCATAGTATCAGCATAATAGTAGCTGTCAAATATATGTATAACAGTAGACAGTAAATATTATGATGATCAACTTTTTTAAAAAATGTGATTAATGTCGTAATGCCAAATGTTCCTGGGAAAGAATATAATCTATTAACTGAGAAGAGATTTATTTCCAAGTACTGTAGACTTGGATAGGATTATATTGCTAAAGTGACTTGTTTAAATGGATGATGAATGAATGAAAAAGTCAAAAGAACTGGGTATAGCAAGATGAAATTCTAAACTGTTTTTCGGTTAATAAACCCCTTATGCTTCAGATATGCCACTGATATCTTTCTTCATCTGGGAATTCTGCAAGCATAGTTCTAGCAAATATGGAGGATTCCAGTTTGAGGAATTGCAGGCATATTGCAGTTTAAATTCCTTCCATTTCAAAAGCAAGCTGGATTATTATTTGACTCTAGAGTCTAGGCTAAACATATTAAAGGAGGAAGAGAATTTCTTTTCAACGTTTGCATGTAATTTTTTAAATGAGATTATTTCCATCAAATTCTTGATGTAATGGAAATGTTCTCAATTTAAGTGGCCAGATCACAATGTCAAGGAATGCACATCTGTATAGTTGGCCTGCTTGTCACTATTAAAAGTTCACCTTATCACCGGCCAAAGATGAGAGAATGAGAGAAATTTTACCTGCTAAAATTCTCTTTTTTGTCAGAACTCTGTGATTGATACTACATGTCAGCAGAGATCCGGAGTTTTGATCTTTATGATCATCGTGAGCATCAAGATCCGTTGTCTGGGTGTGTTAAGATGACAGTAAGAGAGAAGAATTTCTAGGTTTTTCTTACATATCCACAATATATTACTTCCATTTTTTTAAAAGAAAAATAGGAAGACCCTTAATTTCATTCTGCAAACATGGTGTTTAAATTATATATTTGTCAGGGAATTTGAATAAGTTCTTTAAAAAAGTTCTTAAAACTTTTTGGGTTCTTTTGTCTTTGAAATGCAAGAAATACTTTGAGCCAATCTGCGCTCATATCTTTCCTTAACGCTGACAAATTTTTATTTACCTAGTTTTTGTGGCTTTGAATCAGTATTAATTTTCAGAAGTGGTTTGCCATTGCCTTTTTCTGAGGGCTGAGGGAGAGTGTTTGGCAAAAGTTTACCCAGCTGGCTTTGTGCCTAAGATAGGACTGAAACTTAGGGCCTCCTGGTATCTATCCTGGTATCTTAACCACTATACCAATCTGACTCTTAAAAAAAGAAAAAAAGAAAAAAAAGTAAGAAAAGCCTGACCCATAGAGGAATGGAAATAAGTGTTCTGTCTCACTACAATTACCTTACCCCTTCCACACAAAAAGAAATAGCATTTAATGTTAGATGCCCACATCCATTGTAATATATATATATATATATATATATATATATATATATATATATATATATATACCTAAGCGAATGACCAGCAATTTTGCTACTAGATGTTTTCCACAATTGCCATGGCTGAGATTACATGTTGCTTCAGCAATTGGGATACTTCTTTCTTTTTTTGCCTGTCAGTGAGTTTTGGTTGCTTATTTTGGTTCTCTCAATGAAAACAAGGATATTTTTGAATGCATATATAAAGTTTATGGAACTGAGTTATTGATTAATATTCATGTAACTGAATATTGCTGATTAATACGTTTGCAGAGATTTGCCTGTGTAAATCTTCCAAGAGTTGTGAGTCTGTCAGTATACAAGTTTTATAAATTATTATTATTAAATGTACCTGCCATTGTAAAAAAAAAAAACATTTTGAGCATGAGTGTCCCAAAGGTGCTTTTTCAGGAGGCAACTGGACTTCCTTGTTTTTCTTTGAAGACTTTTAGGTTCTCATCGAAGAAGCTTCTTCAGCTCTGACTAGATGGTGGGGAATGGAAGGATTTATATTCTTTGCAGACAGCTGGTCAACTGCATTCTTTTAGAGAGTGGTTGAAGCCATTTGGAAGTTTACCTGTGTCCTCAGCGTCACCTGAATAGTGCAAATGTGTGTAGAGCCTTTTTGGTTGTAGGATGTTTTCTGCCCCTGTGTCCCTTCACTGTTGAAGACAGGCATTGGCTATTGGGGATATCTAGTCAGAACTGAAGAAGTTTCTTGGATGAGAAGCAAACCGTCTTCAAAGAAAAAGAAGAAAGTCCAATTGTCTCCTGAAAAAGCACCTTTGGGACAACCATGACCTGGATCACTGAGAATCTCCATAAACATTTTGAGCATGAGATTTTATCAGTAGTGGTGAGCAAATAAGAGCCACACTTGCATTGAGGGGAAAGGGCAGATATATTCCAAACAATCCGTACAAAGAAGTGACAAATTCCAGGAATGGCAGACTAAATTTGGTGTAGCGTAGGGGATTTACAAGTGTTGCTAATGGGAAAAGAGGATACCCACAGGTCTGTAGAGCTGCTGCGATTCTAGGAAAATACTAGCTTTCAATAATTTCAAATAAGAGCTCTGAAGATAGGCCATAGTGTGAAACCAATGAGTCCTGAATCAAATTTCAGAGTGATGCAAAACATCAGTGAGATACTGCAACAAAAATGAAGGATCCATTCTTGTTCATTCCATCCTCTCAGTTACTAATTGTGGGGGAGGACTGCCTTGACTTTCTGCTCCATATTGTTCTTTAAATTCTGCATCAGATAATCTACTGAGATATTCACTGTTGAGTGGTAGGGGGAAAAAACCCTCACAATTAAAATATAATAAGAGGCAAAGAAAAGAAGTGGATT